TAAGTGGAGAGGTTATGTTGAATAGAATGGAAAGAGATCTCATTGAAGAGCACAATAGGGAACTTGATGAGGCCATCAAGAATGGCAAGGCTGTGGTAGCACACACTCAATTTCTCATTGAGTCTATGGAAAAAGTGAAGAATGTCAATGAGAGAAGACTTGCTACTCTCAAAGTTAAGGCTACACCCTACATTCATGCTTCTGGAAAGTTAAAAAGAGTTAAGCATACTGTTGGGAGGGATAGAGTTCATGGAAGAAAACCTCCTTTGCATCCTTCTTCTAAAAGATCTGAGAATCCAGCTGAGACCTCACCTGCTCAGAACCTCAGAAGTTCTAAAAGACTATGAACTTAATCAGAACCCCAATGACTCTTTCCCAACCTATTCTAATTATGCGTTTTTATTTTGTTTTGTGAATATTTTTTATTTGCTATGTTTTCTATTTGTGTTTGGAGTTTGTTTATTGTATTCTATTTAGAATTTTCTAGTTCTGTTTATTCTACACTATCTATTTTTGTTTCTGTTTTTATTTTGCTCTGATTTGCTAACCCTCTTTTATGATGATAAAAAGGGGGAGAATACAATACACTTCTTGATGCCTGAGTACTTGGAGGAGAAAACAATATTATATTTATTTAAGTACTTAATCTCTTTGCTTATCATGTTCTAATCTGTGATATTTTTATTCCTATGTTTTGTTTCTATGTGAACAGAATATGCTTTGTATGCTCTGATTGTTAGACCTTAGAACTCAGTTTTAAATTCTAATGTATGCTTTGATTGTTAGACCTTAGAACTCGGTTTTAATTCTAATGTCAGTTTCCAGATCTGTATCCTGTTCTAATCCCCACAAATATTATATTGCACTTATTAGGGGGAATTTTATATAAGTTCTAATCTTGCTTCATAATAAATTTGTTATGTTTAAAACTTGTATTTTGTTGACATGCATAAATTTAGGGGGAGCACATGACTTTATATTTGATAAATTTATTGATTTTGTCATCATCAAAAAGAGGGAGATTGTTGGCTCAGTGGCCAATTTTATTTTGGGATTTTGATGATTATGCAAACTAAATAAATTTAATGTTCTTTTATGTGCTAAAGTTGTTTTATGCATATTTTTAATATGGAAATTGCTAAAGAAGGCAAGTAAAGAAGGCAAGTTCCTACAATCCAAGATTATTTGAAGACCATGAAGATTAATTGAAGATTTTTCTAGTGGTTAGTATCTTAGGGTATATTGTAGAATAAAGAGAATATTCTTTTATAAGTACAAAAATATTTTTCTCTCTCAAAATTATTTTCGAAAATTGCCTTTAAAAGAAAAGTCAAATCTTGCTCTTTTAACTCCACTTACCTAAATAAAAAATATTTTGGCTTAAATATTTTTGGCAACAAATAAATGAGTGTATAAAAGATTTTCGTGGATCTTCTATTTTCAAAATGTCAAAAATACTCAGTAAAAGCTAAAGATAAACATCTTCATAAACATAATTTTTATTCCTCTTATAAAAACGTTGCTTCTTCTTTTGAGAATTTGATTTTTACAAAAGTAAGAGTCCATCGATTAAAAGTTTCAGATCTCTCAAAGCTCTCTCTTCAAACCCCCTTATTTCTTTTCATCGATTTGCTTTAAGAAATATTTTTCAAAGAGAAAAGAAAATTTAATAACAACATTTTCTGAAGAACAATTTTGAACTTCATTTCTATTTTCTAAATCTGTTTTCTATTCTTCCTGTGCTTATAATTGTGTTTCTCTCTATCTATATAGATTTTTATAATCTGTTGTAGACTAGATTTAATCTGTTGTAGACTAGATGTTTTTAAATAAAAAACTGTTTGTGTAATAGCTTAAGCGTGAAAAAGCATTATTGGACCAGCAAATGTAATAAGGTTTATACAAGCGACTTCTCGCTTGTTGTGTAGATTCTAATGTCTTGATGTGAGTTTCGGTGTTCTCTGCAAAAATCGTGGTGGACGAAAGGGTGTATCTAGTGTTGATCTATTTCCCTTGTTAAGGTTTGGTTTGTCGTTACGCTTGAAAGAGATAACATTAGTGGAAGATCTCAAAATAAGTATGGGAAGAGTAGATTTAGGCAAGTTAGTATCGAACCACTATAAATTATTTTGTGTTTATCTTCTTTTATTTTCTGAAGTTATGCTTGATTATATTCTGTTTACACACCGCATTAATCTTAGAGATAACATAGTGGAAGATCTCAAAATAAGTATTGGAGAGTAGATTTAGGCAAGTTAGTATCGAACCACTATAAATATCTGTGTTTATCTTCTTTTATTTTCTGAAGTTATGCTTGATTATATTCTGTTTACACACCGATTAATCTTTTTAGAAATGCAAAGTTGTTAATGAATTTATGTTTCTAAATGTGAATAAACTTTATCATTGTGGAACATTAGAAGTCTGGATTTTTGTATAAGTGATTATACCAAGTTCTAATCTGTCCTTTGACATTTAATACAAATCACAATATAAGTGATAATCAGTTTTCTAATATTGCTTAAATCTTTGTGAAGCAATTCTAAAATGCAATAACTGTTCTTCACAGAATCCTTCTAAATTTGTTTAAGCTTTGTGAAGTAGTTCTAGACGTAATAACTGTTCTTGACAGAGTCTTTCTAGACCTACAATAAGCTTTGTAAGAAAGTTCTAAACTCGATAACTAACTCTCGCAAACGCTTTCTAATTCTGCTACAACAGAATTCTGATTTTGTTTTAAAAGTCAATTTATTTTTGGAAAATCCAATTCACCCCTCCCCCCTCTTGGGTTTTGCCATATATAAACGGGACTCATAGGGATGGTCCAACTAATCATGCCAAATTATACAGGTACTTGCAAATTTTAGGTTTACAACCATATTTATTTTAATCGTCATCATATGATATCTATTTTAATGAATATCTTTGGAATAATGCATTATGCATAAAATTCATTCTTTTCAGTAGTGATATTTGCTCTTTCGAAGCCTTTAAATATTCTTTTACTATCAACTAAATTTCAATTTCTCAAATCACACAATCAAATTGAACCTTTAGGTATAGTAGCTATCTATATTTACATACAAAACAACAATGAATATAAAACTCAGCTATATAACATGATTAGAAAAGAAACTTTTGTCTCATCAAAGAAACAAACAAATAAATAAATGGAAATTTTAATTCTCTGTCCCAAATCATAGAATAAACTTCCTCAATCCCCTTTTTTTTCCCTTCAAATTATATGTTGAAATTCAGAAGGTAATACCAAGACTATGAAACTCGAACAAATCTGATAATATATTAACCATCCAAATCATCGGGTGAAACATGTATAGTTAAGTATTTTATATATATTAAACTAGTCATATGTCCGTAGGTTGTGCGGCTTAACACTAATAAATAATTGATATAAATTAAATTTGATTGAAAAATTTAAATAAATTATTATCATGAAAAGATAATATTTGTCAATTACCTTTTTTTTATTCTTTGACTATGATAATAAAAACTGTTAATCTTATATATAAAAAAGTGATAAAAGAATTCTACACTAACAAATTAAAAACAATAGGCTCACTTTCTTAGCTAAACTGAAAACAATAAATATAAACATTACTTTTACAAATTAAAACAATTTCTCAAACCATAAAATTATCCGAATAAAAAAAAAAGTTAATTATAGGTGTCTTTTGCTCAAGGTATTAATTTTTATCGCTATCTAAAATTATGTTGAACATAAAAAAGAAAACAAGAGTTTGCGTGATAAATTTACTTGATGTATTACTCATATACATAGTACTCAAAGGGGAGTTAGGATTTAGAAAAAAAAGGAGGATAATTAAATTATAAAATAACAAAATGTTATATCAATTTATAGTGTGGTTATGAATTATTGAAAAAACTAATTAGTGCTATTGCAAAAATTTATTATTTGGACCATTATTGCGAAAGAAAGAAAACAAAGAGTTTTTATTAGTGAAATAAATTTATCATATAATTATTAATTATTGAATAAAGAAAATAAAAATTTTTATAATTTGATTAGGTAGTTTGTGTTTTGCATAGATGTATATTATACATTTTTTTTTTTATTTAAGGTGTTAGACATGTTTGTTAATTAAATTATCAAAATTTTTTGCAAAAATTACATGCACTCTGCAAATTAAATGGCTGGATCATATTATGACTGCATTCTTATTAATTTAAAATGTCAATTTTTTTTACCCCTATCATGATTTAGGTAAAATAATTAAAATATATAGATATTGTTAAGTTCTTAAATGTGAAGAATCTTTTATTCTTATATAGAATTAAAGAATTTTAATTATATAAAACAATCAAAAAATTTGCATAGGACCTCAAATTAGAAGCAAGCCTAAATATATGTTAGAAAATTGAATTATAAAGTCAATTAGTTTTATTCATTTTAGTTCAAGTTGTTGATTTATTTTGATTTAAAGTAATCCAACTTTTGTTCTTAAATTTTAGTACTTATAAAAATATACTCAAAATAATTAAATTTCTGCAAAGGCCATAATTTAATTTAAAACTCATGAGATTGAAAAGCAAATCATAATTAAATAATAAATGAGAGAGATAAAGTAATAAAAAAAAAGAGAAATATTGAAAAATTTCTCAAACAAAATAAATGGAAATGCTAGAGTTTCGTGTTTCTAAAAAAAGTGTCACATCAACATATTGTAAAATCTCCATATTTCTCCTTTTTATATTCTCTATGTTTCTCCTTTATAATGATATAATGATCATTCGAGAAATCTAAATTTTATATGATTAAACTATAATTAATTATGTGCCAAGTATGTATATGCAAGTAGCATGAACAACTCATATTATATATAGATTCGATTTGCACCATAAGACAAATATTACGATGGAAATCTAAATCAATCTTTAACAAATTAACATGCAGCCACAAATTTAGCGCGTGAAATCGAAATTCCTTTTTTTCCTTTTTTTTTTTTCAAATAACCAATTCGTGAAAATCTAAAGGTGTTGTTGTGACTATTTTTATTCAAACTATTCTTAATTTTTCAAATCAAACTTATTAATAATTAATTATAATTAATTAGTATCATAACATAATTAAATATTTATCTATGATTAATAATAATAAAATTTTCAAAAAATAATAAATACACAATGAAAATCACTTCTTCTTCTTCCCTGCAAGAATTGGCTGAATTTGCAAATGCCTGTTGAAGGCTTCATTAAAAAGAAAACGAGTCTGGAAGGCTGATATGATTGGGAGCCATGCTAAAATAGCTATGGGTGCAAAGAGAACAATACCCATTCCATAATCATATGCCTTGGCAAGGACTTGGGTAAAATCCCAGACTCCGGTGTTCTCGATCTTGGGTCTCACAGCTTGTGCAATCTGAGCAAAAAAAAAGTCAGCCAGCCAGCCAGCCAAAAATAGCAAAAGGGAAAACGGAAAAAAATAAACAAAAACTAAATTCTTGATTTATTTACCAATATCAAGCCCCATCCAGTGGGTAAAAAGGCTAGACAGCAAACAATCAAGTCCTTCAGCGATAGCTTGCAGATGTGGGAAAGAGTAACTATTATGGACACAACGGCAATGAAGAGAAATGCCTTAAAAAGTCTAAATCCTAGATGGTAGTTAGCACTGAACTTGTTCCTTCCCATGTTCACAGCCTACACAAGACAACAGAATCATGTTAAACTTCATTTGTGGAATGGTGATTCATGCACAGATATGCACAACACAGAGAGGGTAAAATGGAGCAATTATTTACCTTGAACAGTAGAAAAACTGCAAAAATCACCACCCAAGAAAGCAAATAAACTAGAAAATTTTTGCTGTGTTGAGAGATGTCAAGGTGATACACCAGACCATACTGGTACATGAAGAAACGGGCAGAAAGGACTATCTCAAAAAATCTAGCACCCAGCCCTGGACGGCGGAGATGGGCTTGTTCATCATTCCACCAAGACTGCCAACTTTTGTCCTGTTGAATTCCTATACCACCTTGCTCCCGGATCCATTTATTCCAGTCTTTCCAATCATCCACTATTTTGTCCCAACTGAATCCAGATGGATTAAATAGAAATGGTGCAAATAACCAAGTTATTGACATGAACCAAATGGAGTATGTAATTAGCACGTATGCCACACTGCTCTGGTAGGATCGCCTAAATAAATCATAAACAATTAAAAGTAGCACTAATTCAAATCCTTTAACGAAGTGGCTTCGGGAATACAGTCTATAATTCTCAGTGAAGCTGGCATGGAATACCACAACCTTACGCCCAGTGGGTCTGTACTTGGCACCACCATACAAAATTGTCCTACCATAATAATGAATTTTCGTACCAAGTGAGAAAGTGAAGAAAACAGCTGCTAGCTGCAATTGCATGAGAATAAAATCTTTGAATGCTGTGAGAAATCCTTTCTCAAGTCCAATCTCCATCACCATAGGTAAGCCAGTTAGAAGCCCAAGCTGGATAAATGATTGAGAGGCGAGAGCTGTTTCCAATGACTGTATGTTATGTATTCTAGCCTCAACGACCAGTGCTTTCTGAAGCCCACTCAAGACAAGGTAAAGCTGCCCGTAGAGGAATACATAAACTCCAATTACTGCAATCTGCAGAGTACCGCAGAAAAAACTTAAATTAACCATATAAATGGGAAGGATGGGAATGAGAATCGTGACATTGCATATACTAGAATGCTTTAACATAGATAGGACAATATATCCTTTGGCCTAAACGAACAATTTTTCACTGTTGCATAATGCATACAACTGAAAGGAAGACCTATTTACCAAAATTATTAATCCTAAAGTGCCAAGCTAAGAAGGATATAATTCTACTTAATACTGTAAAATCATTTTGTGAAGTAGCTGTAGGAGAACTAGGACTACAGCTAAAATATGATGAAAGCAAATTCATCAAAAAGTGATCATCTGAGGGTACAAGCAAATTACCAGATTACTGAAGTAAAATCCAATGGTTGTAAAGTAACAGGACAGCATCCGGAAAAAATCAAACCAGCGTCCAAGTCGGTATATGTCACGGCTAAGAGTTTGCTCACTGTTACCATTAGCTACTTTGGCTTCAAACTTTGAGATCTGATTTAGGCCCACATCACGCCCCTTTCCAACTTGCAGGTACTCATGGTAAGTGACGCATCCCCGACGTAACGTAGAATTAAACCCTGCATCAAATCAGATTTATGCAGCTGCAAATAAACTATATTGTCAAAATGCAACTTGTGAAGTTACTGAGATTCTTACCAGCAAATACATCCTCACTCAAGTTTATTGTTTTTGATGCTTTGCTTATGCCACCTCTTGTGATGTGAAATAACCTATCAAATACATCAGGATGTCCATAATGGAATCTTACCCTGTGCAAAAACGAAAATTCAAGAAAATAATCAAGAAAAATAAAGGAAGAAGAGTTTGCAAAGATAAAGCTAATGATTTCATCCACAATTAAATTGAGATCACAGGACCATGTACCTTCCCTCTTTTTCTACCTAGCTTGTAACACTAGTCTTCTTAGGAATAATACATTTGTTTTGTTGGCAAGTTAGCCTGATGATCAATTTTACTCCAAACTATATAGATTTGCAATTTTAATCTCGTCTTTTTTGTGGCAATTAAAGCATAATTAGCAAACTTAGTTGCAATTGCATCTTGCGTGTAAAATAATAAAATTAGTGGTGGATCCCACTAATTTACTTTGGTAAGGTTAGCTTATAGATGGTTTAAACCTTGTTATCTCTCTCAATCTACTACCATCAGAATTGAAAATTCAATCAGAATAGCCTTTTTGTGAGAAGTGAGTTGCCTCCAATCCCATATTACTAGTTCTATGCAAAACCGTCAATCTCCACAAAATAACAAATAAATAAAAACTTATTCAATCCCACATGCCTCCAATTCATAATCAACTTATCATATCGCAATCTTTGTAGACTAGGATACAATGGGTCACTAAATGTTTCATCATGCTTATTTATACACATGCGCTCGTAAAAATATTACAAGTTCAAAACTCCAGATTTATCTTCTAATCTCCTTCTATCAATTTGGATTCCTCTAACAATGGTGTATCACTTGGTTGATTTGAAGTGAGTTGTTTTTATTATTTATAGAACAAAAATATACACATATAATACAGCAGTGGAAAAGCTTTTGAAAGAAAAAAAATAAATATTCAGAGTTTTCTTGGTTTAACAGTCACAATTAGCTATTGGCGACTTAAGGGCTGACAGTCAGCAATTGGAAAGGCTTATCACTAATAGCTCGATCTTTCAACATTCAACTTCGATTTTGAGCTGCCATTCGCTAGATCTGAAATGCGACTCAAAATGTTATGTTTACCAAACACCTCAAATCAATTGTTGCAAGCTCAAAGTCCAAGGATACATTCAATTGCTTAATATAACTATAAATTTTGGCCAATAAAGAAAATTATCACTGTCAATTGAGAAATGAATTTTTATATAATAATTCATTTAAGGAAAGTCGACCATTATTATGTACATAGCATGATTTTAGGGATTTCTTCCTAAATAGTTTAGGAATCACTTGTATATAAACTTGTATCTCTCTTTGATGTAGATAAACAAAACACACAATTCTCGAAACTTGGTATCAGAACAATTAGAAACAAATATTTAAGGGATTTGATTTTTTTTTTTTTTTAAAGTTCAACTTTGGTAACAATTTTGTTGGAAATCAGTTCACCGCTCTAGTGTGATTATTAACCCCCCACCGCCTACCTTAGAAGAATCTCCAAGTGCGATTGGGCATAATCCCGAGGCCCAATCATCGATTCTCTAGCAAGTGGCTCCCACGCACAAGCATTCCTTTTCTGCTCTATTCACACGCTGATTTGTGAGGCCGCGTCCGGCGGTCCCCTGTTCACCGATTTCTCTCTCCAGCGTCGACTTGAAGAGAGAAGTGCAACCCAGTGAGTTGCATTGTAGTTCTTGGACATTTGTGGTGGGTTCAGTGCATCTGTCCTATTCTTGTCGAGCGATGTTCTGTTACTAAGTTTTCTTTCTCATTATTCTGTCCCATTATTATTATTATTATTATTATTTTTTGCTTTGTAGCATCGATTCTAGCAGTTAGAAAAGCCTGTGAGTTGTTTTATGTTTCTACTTTGAAATTCCGATTTTTGCGGATCTAAGTTCTTTGGTTTTTCAAATTTTTGTGGTTGCTGAATTTCTATTCTAATATAGTAGTTTATTTCCTTATTGTGGTTGGTGCTGTTATTTTTTATGGGCCTCTTTCTTGCTATAATTGTAATTCTGCTGTGATTTCAGTATTCTTTTGGTTTGCTACTTTGGTTGTGTTAAGTCATGTGTTTTGCAGGATCTGAAAACAGAGGAAACGATTGGATTTGGTAGATTGCACGATGGCCTATATCTCCTAGAGAAGAGTAGCAGTTACCTAGCTTCAGAAATTCCCCGAGCTCTGTTAGCAAGTAGTAGTACTAGTCAAACAGCTATTATGTGGCATAGGCGGTTAGGATATCCTTCTTTTGTTGTTCTCAAAAGGTTATATCCTAACTTGTTTAGCCAATGTTTGTTAGATTCCTTAGTTTGTGATGCTTGTGAACTTGCTAAACATGCAAAAAACACTTATGTTTGCCATGATCATAGAAGTTCTGTTCCTTTTATGACTATTTATTCTGATGTGTGGGGACCTGCTTCTATTGTTTCATTATTTGGATATAGGTGGTTTGTTACCTTCATTGATCGTTATACTCGTTTAACTTGGGTTTATTTGTTGAAAACAAAGAGTGAAGTTTTTTCCTGTTTTCAATCCTTTCATAATATGATAGTACACAATTTGGTGCTAAGGTTCTGTTAAAATCTTTGTAATTAGAGTAAATATTGTCTTTCCTAATTTAGGTTTATTCCTAATTAGAGTAAATATTGTCTTTCCTAGTTTAGATTTATTCCAATTTAGGTTACTTCCTATATTGGAACAATCTTTTATAAGACAGTTCTGTTATAATTTTTGATCGTATTATATAGTTTACCTGATGTGTGGGGCTGCTTCTATTGTTTCATTATTTGGAAAACTAGTACGGTGGTGTTGAGTTACGCTCGTTCATTGATCGTTATACATGTGCGTTCTCGAACCTTGGATTTTACTATTTTGATTTATGAAAACCCGAAAAAAGCAAGTGAGAGCTTTTTACTATATGCCACTGTTTATCCAATCCTGCTTTCACATAATTTAATCGATAGTAACCACAATTGGTGCTAAGGTTCTGTTAATAAATCTTTGTAATTAGAGCTAAAATATTGTCCTTTTCCTAATTTAGGTTATTCCTAACTTTAGAGTAAATATTGTCTTGTTACCTCAGTTTAGTATTTTATTCGGAATTTCAAGACAGGTGATAGCAGCTATCACAATATTTGTGGGCGGTTTGATAATAATATTCTTTAGTTAATAATAGGTCGATATACTTAACAGTAGAGATCAGCAGAAATAATACAACGGAGATACCTGAAAGAACTCCCTTCTTGGTTTCACAAAACTTTAGCTAATATGATATTAGGAGCCGCTATGTATATAAGGATTTGCCCCACATACTTGATGGATTATTTTTTCGAAATATGTTTTTTGTTCGTAAAGGTCTGGGGATTATCAAGTAGAGCCGGTACCCCACGCCACCTATGCAATATTTGCCCTCAGGCCATTATAATCGTTTACCACGTCGCGGCGTTTTTCCCGGTGACCACAGAAATATCTTTGTTTCAGTGGTCTTTCCATTTTGGTGCTGCTGACTCCAGGCCCCCTACCTTTGGTCTCACATTCTTAATCCACCGTGGTGACTCTCTCAATCCGCTCTCAAATATCCCGTATTGACGCATTTTTGTTAGAGGTAATCTCTTCATTTTTCTTAGATTTGTCACGAAATGCTCCAATGGCATAACTGTTCTAATCCCTGTGTGATTTCCACCTCATTTTCTAACAATTATATATATATTACGCAATCAAGCTTACTCCGCACTAAATTAATTAATTTCTCTAGAAATTCTGGATCTAAATAAACATAGATTGATGCGCGAGATAAAATAAAGGTTAGAGTCAAATTGATGCGTCTTTACAGCGGTTCTTCCGCTTCTGAAAGAATTATCCTTTACTCCCACCTCCCGGGAAAGTTTGACAAGTCCAGTGAAGGTTAGTATGGCATAAGACAAAATTTTATTGGACCTTGGTTCAGTCTCCATTCCAGTGCCTGCCTCTTATGAAATTTTCTGCTTAAATTCATCCAAACGACAGACTTATGCAGGACTAATATTGCGACCGGAAGTAATTCTATTTCTTTATGGTTACCGTGGTGGGATGCATAGCAAACAGAGAGCGCATACATTCTTTAAATTTGCTTTCACTTCATCGACGCAACTAGGTCTCTGAATGTTGATATTAATACTGGTTATCCTAAGTTGCTTCGAAGAGTATACAAAGATAGAGATAATCATCCTTATCTCATTACTTAATTGTCCGTGTCGGTGCTAAATTCAAGTTCACTATAATAATCGCAAGAGCCTCTCACATTCACCATTATCTGACCTCAGAGGTCATATTTACTAACTTTAATTATTCCTCTACATTCTGATAACCTTGATGAGCTAGATGTACGAATGTATTGGGTTAGTAGATAGGCTCGCTGATCATGATATCCCTTAAGGTGTATCTTCTCAAAACATGGATCATGGTTGAATATTATGAACTATTCAAGTTGCAGATTATCGCATCCATACTTAGCTCGCAAGACGATGTTGTAAGACCGCTAGCCTCTACGTTAAAAAGGCCACTATCGTGTGTAAATTGTGGGCCACACCACGATTAAGATGTCTGTTCATTGAAACCAAACGGCTAAAGACATGTGCCCTGATATGTGAAGAACGGGTATCAATTAAACTTGGATACCTCGCCTTCAGATCACATCGATTTCGCCTTAATACTGATCAGTTCAAACAATACCGTCACTTTATGGTGGGAACGTACTCTAGCCTAAAGATTAGAAACTAAATTTGTTACCCAATAAGAAGATTTGGTCTCAAGCTATGAAAAAGAGTCACCCTTTGATATTCCGTCTGCACATTTCATTCTATAGTTCTAGAAACAGCTATAGAACCTTATATAGATGTAGATCGTATACGCTCGTATAGTAACTCCACATTGTGTTCAGACTAACCCCATATATATATAACGAGATATACACAATTCAACTTTCTTCGTAACCATACTATCATGTTTCAATTTCCGTTATCTGATGATCTCTTTTCCATCCCTTCTAGCGAACCAAGCGATGAGCGTCATAATTAGGTACTAATCAAGAACTGGAGAAGACTTAACGGTAGGAAGCATA